GGACGACCGAGAGCCAAGGAGGGAAACGGGCTCTCCCAGGCACCTTCGAGTCAAGTAATAAATAGAGCTGAAGTCAGCACCTGGCGCGGTCCTCTCCTTTTCCCCCCTCTGGAGTTCCACCTGACAAACACATCTTTAAAGGCTGCCTCCAAAAAACAACTGCCCTGCTGACCTCGGCGTTGGGTGCGCTGACACACGCTCGCTAGGGGTTAGCAGGAGAGAATTTGCTGCTGCTGCTGATAGAAGGGATTGTAGGAAACATGAAACTGCAACAAAGAAGCTTTAATATTTTCTAGTTGTTAGTATTTATGATTACAGTTTGTATTCCTGCATACATAGTGATCTAATGATGTAACTGTTATACCAATCCCCCTTTCTAATAGGGAATGTAGTGGATGAATGTAGATACACGTTATCACTTTAATTTGTTAGACAAATCATTGAAACAAAAGCAAGTCATAGTTCTCAGCGAATAATTGGAGTAACTGTAGGATAAGAGAGACTCCTAAATAATTCTACTCCAAACATCTCCACCTTGGGAGAGCAGATGTGCAGGACCATGAATATAGGGAGGCTACAAAGTGGCCGTAAGACTGTAACAAAGCAACCTTGAAGGACACTGTCTTTGTGATCTTAGAACTGAGTTTGCACACAAAGTGGTAAAGAGTACAAGCCTTCATCTGGAGAGCCCCGACGACCACCCGGGGATGCTAACAGACATGCATGAAAGACATTAACATATGCTAAATAATTATTGGAAAAGTCATGAATATGCTAAGTATTTCTTGGAAATGTAATGAATATGTATACTGTGATTGTATTTAGCCTGAAATGGAGGTGTGTTTGGCACGCACATTTGGAGATCCCCAGTGTGCCCAGCACGATAACAAAGGATACCTGCTTGGCAATATACATTGTACTGTACGGTTATTACCAGATCTTCAAATCACGATGAGCTCTGGTGTTTGAACATCAGCTACTCACTGCCCAGGGGAACCCTGCTGATAAACCGTCCCTTGTAAACAAGCAGTCTTTCTGCGTGCGGAAGGTGCGCTGTACTGTATGAGAAGTGGGTCGGGTTTGAGTGAAATGGTGGTAGTCTGCCTGAGGAAAGAGAAGATTTCCATTTATCCTCTTCATTTTCTTTCAGAGAGTCAGGATCAAGTTTGGGTTCCACCAAGAATGGCACACAGCTTTTAATTACAAAGGGTGAAACAATCCCAAACTGACACTGAAGCAGAATCGCTGTCTGGTACATAAATCCCAAGGAGTTTCTTAGCCTTGGCACACACTGCTGCTTTCTCACACTGTGGCTTGCATGTGTGTCCTCTGGCCATGCCACGAGCGTCATTTTCCCGTTGATTTCATGAGATGGGCCTTCATGGCTCTTTCCTTCCCACACGCAGAGGGGTTTCTGCAACAGCAAGAAATGCCAAACTTTCGTACTGGGTTCGCTGTTTGTGAGCAGTACCTGTTACATCTAGAATGACTAGAAAAAAATGCTTAGGAAAAAAGTGGGGGGGACATACGTTATCCAGATTTGCCAACTTTCGAGTTCTGAAAAATGTGCCAATATCGAAATATTAGTTGGTGATAACAGATGTCGAGGTCTGTCTGTTTCAGCCACTGTAACACAAGTTTCTCATTTTGAGTAAGGTGCTGAAGTCTTGCTATGATATAGTTTCATACTTTGTACAGTAAGCAAAGATTCTTCTGTTCCTCACCAAGTTTAGTAGTTTCTGATCAATCTGCATCCAAAAATGTTTTCATAACAAGGCATATTTTTAAAGTGATCTCATGGACCACAGGCAAGGAAACAGGCTGTTCGTAAACAAACAGCAAGAGGTTCTTACATGACTTTTAGCACCCACAAATTCACAACACAGAACATCCAAATAGTTCAATAAAATATCTTAATTTTCAGAGTACATAGCTAAATCACCGTACCAGGCATTTGTTAGACAAGTCACTAGCTGTATGGTCAAAAAGGGTAGAATATTCTGGTTCTACCAATATTTTGGTTCTACGTAGTCTGCCTAATATAGGAGATACAACTTCAGATTTTGTTTTTAAGATCAGAAGCACAAAGAAGCATGAGGCAATTGAAGGTCTAAGAGGCCAACTTGATTAACATACATACTTTATTACATTGGGTAAGATTTGTAATAACCACTGACTTCATGATCCATCAGAAAATATATAGCAGGACACAATAGTTGGAACCTACCCCAGGAGGAATTCAGTCTAGAAATGAGCGTATTATGTTTGAGCTGTTGAGACAACTTGCTGCCTTAAGTCAGTCACGCTCCTGCTGATGTCGTAGTGATTCTACTGTGCCAGGCCATAATGTTTTCCTCTCCTGTGAAATCTATTTCATTTGCAGCAAAATTTGCCAGTATCTTCCAA